CGATTCCGACGTACCCTGATTCTCCTGGGTAGGTTTACTTTAAATGTTCTCTTTTGTTTCATATTTCAGAATCTATACGTCCACTTCTTATTCTGACAATCGATGGAAATATTTTCTTCTCGAATCTCTGTGTGTAAAGCGAAGTGCAAAAAAGCCGGCAAAAATAGCCTATTATCTGAAAGATAGAATCGATACATCTTTTTATGGTGTATCAAAAGAAAATAATGCATTTTAATGGGCATTCTGTCTTTATTCACTTGAGAGAGAATCCACGAGATCACCACCCAAAACAGTCACGATCGGTTGCCGAAAATTTTAAGATTTTGAAATAAGCTATCAGGTTCGATAGAGCATACAAAATGAGGCATACATCCAAATTTGTACTATTTTTGAACAATGCCTTCTTTCGATTTGGGGGCCTAACTTTTTTTGTGGTACCAAAAATACTGTTAGCGTTAGTGATGGATCACACTAACGCTAAACGAAGATTAATACGTTCTTCTAGTCTAACTGGTAGGACATCTGCCCGAATAGCAGAAAGTATGGGTTCGATCACCATGAAGGTCATATTTTTCTTCGTTCTGTCACATAACATCAGTGACACTGCTTGTCTCTTTCGCTCTTTATATATCTCTCTTTCATTCCTTATATCTTCCTTTCATTCTATACATATTAGAGCTAACAAATACGTGTAAAAAAATCTTTTTTTCAAAATGTTTTTCGATCGAATTTTTTTATTCAAAAAATTAATCAATAGAACACTTGCCTTATACCAATCGATAGCGCGGAATCCACTCTAAAAAATGTTATATTTTGTTTATCTCTTCATGCTATCTGTTATTCCTGAGAACTCTTGCATCATCATAGAGTACCCATTTTATGCCGGCTTTTCACATGAGTTTTTAGCAATTTTTAAGTTCTACCGGCTCTATTTCCATAGTACCAAAGCTAGAGCTTAGCCTATCTTGTAGAGCGTGAAAATGTGCATCTATTCATTAAAAAATATTTGCTTTCAAGTACTGGCAAAGTTTCGAAAGGTACCTAACAAGATACCTCAGTATGAGTCAGTTTTTGATAGTTTACACGCCGTATTGTCTTAGTAAATCACTCGTATCTCAGTATTCCGTTTATCGTTTTTATCAAGGCTAGTGTCATTAGATAGAGCTTTTAAAACTGCTTCAGAGGCAGTGATGCATCACGGGATTGCATCTTTCTACCTGAAAACAGACTAAGAATATGGAAATAGTGAACATATCAAAGTCGATCTGGATCACTGTTTTTATTTCTAGTTTTGCAAGCTTTATCAATCTAAGAGTTCTGATTGCAGTTGGAGATCACTGAATTGATTCTGCGTTTGCTTACGTATTTTTCAAAATTTTTTGGCTCTTTAGTGCCTGCGAGTTTGGCAGTTAGTGATAATATTTCGTTGAGATTCTTAGCATTCACTTGACATAAATGTATCAATTTTCGGTGAATTAAAGCCAATTAATTAAAGTTTTCCATTCTACTAACCTCTTCGAAAGAGTGCCATATCGGCAGTAGCATGATCTAGTGTTCATAGCATGGAATCCGCTATGTGTCATATAATCAATCATAGGGTTTTGATTCGTCATCGAAATAGTGAATTTGGAACTGGGAAGAGTTCACTACTAAGAGCCATGCTGATAGAAAAGGTCGTTTTGAAGTCGATACGGAAGAACCCATTGTTTATTTGGTACTATGTAAAGAAGAAGAAGTGCAACAAAAATAACGAACAGTGGCTCTGAAAGAGGTGTAGAAATAAAGATGAATATAACGATGTTAGGCAGACGATGTGGGGTTATAACCATTGATGTTTCTTTTTCTAGCTCTTCGACCTGATGGCATAATTAGATGTCTGTATAATGGTCGTAGTTCTACCAGAACCTTGGTCGGGACTAATAATGTTAGGTTACTGCTGGTCTTTTCAATTTCTGAACGAACTATAAACTTTCATATTTATTTTCTTCTCGAGACTAATAGAACTGCGAGGTTGTCGAGTTTTCTATATGATTTCCAGAATTCTTCCACATACCTCGGTTCTGATTTCAACCATCTAAAACTTTTTTGCAGTCTTTTCATGCTTTTGAATTGATAAAGCTTATTATTAGAGCAACTCCTTTAGGGGTATAAATATGGAATTCCTACCCCGTATGAAAACTCCGATAGCTGGATTCAATCGGATTCGATCTGTTCCTGCAGGATTCAAAGTAAATCCGGGTTGCGGACCAACTCACACATCCCTAGTGTTAGAGTCCGATCGATTCTTGAAGGAACCAGTTAAAACCCGATTTGTTTCTTTAGCAACCTTGTTGGAATCCGACTCCTGAAATTTCTATCGAATTCACTTGTTGGATTTGATCGAATGCTCACCGGATTCTAACACTAGGGATCCGTTAGTAGTTCCTCAACCCGGAATCCCATGGGACTTTGTCGACTTGTCGGATTTTATAAGATCCGATCGAATTCGGTATCGGATTCATTTACCTCGGTATATATGCTTTGCATTCTCGAATCAAAGTTGATGCAATACTAGATTAGGTGAAAGTCTTCCGAAAAGAAACCATCTTATTTCTAAGACTTGAAATTCTGGCATTTCCTTTCTTCTTGTGTCTGTAATGGTAGCCTAGTGTACTTACTAATGTCGGTCATATTATTTCGATCTCGTTAGTAAGCAAGGGGGAAAACTGATTTCTAGTCAGTTCTAGTGATTTCCAGTGATTTCTAGTATCAGAAATCAGTTTTTCCCCTTGCTAGTAAGTTCTACAACGATGAAGATAGGCGGAAGCTCCGAATTACAGCACTCCCTAAGAAGCGAAAGCAGACTTTCATCATTTACATCTGCAATTAGGAGGAATGAGACTCAGCAACACCCTCGGTTTAACACGCATAACCTCCGTTTTCTTCCCAAATGTAAGTGGATGCCACAAAACGTTATCCAATAAAGATGACCTCGGTTTAATACCAATTTAATCCAGCTTTTGATTGTAATATTTTTTGGTGCTCCTCATAAATTGTACGATTTGAGTGGTAATATTATCTTTGCTTCTTTTAGCCAGGAAAATCGATCAAGGTAGTTATAAAAGACGTTGATAATGGTGCTTCAATTACCTACGCATTTTCATCAAGACCACCACCACTATTATCCAAAAAAACGACCCAGGCGGAAAAAAATGCTTTTGCATATGCCCTTTGCCAGTACTTGAAAGCAAATATTTTTTAATGAAAAGATGCACATTTTCACGCTCTACAAGATAGGCTAAACTCTAGCTTTGGTACTATGGAAATAGAGCCGGTAGAACTTAAAAATTGCTAAAAACTCATGTGAAAAGCCGGCATAAAATGGGTACTCTATGATGATGCAAGAGTTCTCAGGAATAACAGATAGCATGAAGAGATAAACAAAATATAACATTTTTTAGAGTGGATTCCGCGCTATCGATTGGTATACGACAAGTGTTCTATTGATTAATTTTTTGAATAAAAAAATTCGATCGAAAAACATTTTGAAAAAAAGATTTTTTTACACGTATTTGTTAGCTCTAATATGTATAGAATGAAAGGAAGATATAAGGAATGAAAGAGAGATATATAAAGAGCGAAAGAGACAAGGAGTGTCACTGATGTTATTTGACAGAACGAAGAAAAATATGACCTTCATGGGGATCGAACCCATACTTTCTGCTATTCGGGCAGATGTCCTACCAGTTAGACTAGAAGAACGTATTAATCTTCGTTTAGCGTTAGTGTGATCCATCACTAACGCTAACAGTATTTTTGGTACCACAAAAAAAGTTAGGCCCCCAAATCGAAAGAAGGCATTGTTCAAAAATAGTACAAATTTGGATGTATGCCTCATTTTGTATGCTCTATCGAACCTGATAGCTTATTTCAAAATCTTAAAATTTTCGGCAACCGATCGTGACTGTTTTGGGTGGTGATTTCATGGATTCTCTCTTAACTGTGTGCCTTGTACATATGCTCAATAGAAGCACAATTTCATTCACACTTTAACAGTCCACTTAAAAAAATCCGTGCTTGAATTCAAGTTAATGAAACATCGCATTCCTACAAAAATACATTTTATAACTACAATGCGTAGGTTTTTGGATACTTACCCCTGTTGTTGAAGAATAGGGTCATTACTATAAGCGTTTTCAAGTTTTTCTCTCTTTCTCCTAAGAGGAAGCAGCTTTTATTTTATATCAACGCTTCTGGTGTTTTATACTTTAATTGCATATGTGTAAGCGCAGAACAGGAAAAATAAATAACATTTGCCTTGAGTTTCAAATATTCTTCAGCGTAGTCAACAAGATCGAAACAGCGGTGAATATTCACACGCATATTTGATAAATATGCAAAGGGGGAAAAAGCTGATTTTTTTGATTTAAATCAGAAAAAAAATCAAAGAAATCAAAAACCTCAGAAAAATCAGAAAAATCAGAAAAAATAAAAAAAACAGGAAATGCCAAACGACTTAATGAAGATAAAGTTATATTCTCATCCTTTTAAATCTAAATATGAAGTCTTTCAATATATTTTCAACAGTGTACTCTGTTTTCGTATAATAATAACCTTTTTCTTATAAAGAAATGTGATAAAATTCCTTTATGGATAAAATATTATACAAACAAGAACGTGCTAGTAATGCATGCATTTTCTTTTGCTCATTGTCTTTCTTGAAACCCACAATCAGTAGACTAACATTGAGAGAAATATGGAATTTTAAAGGTTCAAAACAGTTACCTGTTTATTTGGAACAAGAAACAGAGTAATGTCGTTCGATCATAGGAACTATTGTCTTCAACAGCATCCAGATTTCATATGCTAGCGACCTCATTCTGACTAGAAAAGCTGTACAAGTAAAAATGTGATTGTTTGATATCGAGCCATTCGTATTAAGTATTTCTTTCGTTTCACTGTCGATATTCGTATGGAGCACATTCTCAATAGGTTCAAAGGTCTATAAAAAAAACTTCATAATGCTGAAAAAGCCTTTTTTTAATACCAGTCGTATACCAGATGATATTTTTTCTTATCAGGATAAACAATTTTACGACTTTATTAAAACGCTAATCGGTGATAAACAAGCAAATTTACTTACTTTTCAAGAAATCAGCAACGCAGATATCTATTTGCACTGTTGCAATGTTCTCAATATTCTTAAATTAGATTCAAGTGCTTTGATTCCATACAAAGAATCCCTTTGTCTCAAACTTGATGACAACAGCTATACAGTTCTCCCTGGTATTAAAAACTCATTTTCATATTTGAATGAACTTTTGACAAAGAAAAAAGATGAAATAATTCGAACAACTCGATCTATGTCAGGACCTTTCTCGTCAATCGTAAATTTCTCTGTAGCTCAATTTTTAAGACGTGCAGAGAAGCTATCTATTCTTCAAACAATTAAAAGTGAAGCTGAATGTGATCCGAGTTTTCCGTTTCATTTTCTTCATCACCATAAACAAAGAAAATTACAGAATTTTACAGCTACTGCATGCATCTCTAATTCTTTATCTATTGGTGATATCGAACAAATAGTTCGTCATGCATTTGCTGATGCATGTGAACTTGTATCATCGCTGAATGTTACTATCTTAAATAAAGCTGTTAATTCAATTGCCATGGATGAAGTCAGTATTTTCATTAAAAATCATTTAGAAAAAACAATTCAAATCAACGATTGGGTGCTTTCACGCAGGTCCTCCCACTTTATACACGACTTTCTTCAGGCAGGTTTTAAGCATGACAGTTTTGTAGCCCTCGTCGAGTTGTATAAATATCTGTATACTTTTTTCTCTCAGAACTCATGCGCTAAGTCCTCCAGAGACCTCTGAAAATCCAAGTTTTTGCAAAACCAGTATCGTAAATTAGCAATATTCGGTTCTTACAAACATGATATGAAAATTTTGATTAAGCCATTAGATAGAGCAAAAAAAGCTATCTATGTGCAACAGTTTTCGGGTTCGTGTCTTAAAATCTAAGGGCTCTAGCGTACTTTGAAAAACTCGAAAAATGCGGTTTTTGAAAATCTCGAGTGCTCTAGAAAACCTATAAGGGACCTTGGTAACCCCGATTTATTGATATCAAAACGAAGCTTGAGCAATGGTCACTCGAAATATTTTGATAAGATTTTCTAAATGCATTCCATAGTCGAAATATGCGACTTGGAAAAACCGGGGATTTCTGAAAACCCTATATTGGATGGCCATTTTCTCGGGAACCCTACGCCAGAATTCGCTCNATGCATGCATTTTCTTTTGCTCATTGTCTTTCTTGAAACCCACAATCAATAGACTAACATTGAGAGAAATACGGAATTTTAAAGGTTCAAAACAGTTACCTGTTTATTTGGAACAAGAAACAGAGTAATGTCGTTCGATCATAGGAACTATTGTCTTCAACAGCATCCAGATTTCATATGCTAGCGACCTCATTCTGACTAGAAAAGCTGTGCAAGTAAAAATGTGATTGTTTGATATCGAGCCATTCGTATTATGTATTTCTTTCGTTTCACTGTCGATATTCGTATGGAACACATTCTCAATAGGTTCAAAGGTCTATAAAAAAAGACTTCATGATGCTGAAAAAGTCTTTTGCTAATACCAGTCGTGTACCAGATGATATTTTTTCTTACCAGAATGAACAATTTTACGACTTTATTAAAAAGCTAATCGGTGATAAACAAGTAAATTTACTTGCTTTTCAAGAAATCAGCAATGCAGATATCTATTTGCACTGTTGCAATGTTCTCAATATTCTTAAATTAGATTCAAGTGCTTTAATTCCATACAAAGAATCCCTTTGTCTCAAACTTGATGACAACAACTATACAGTTCTCCCTGGTATTAAAAGCTCATTTTCCTATTTGACTGAACTTTTGACAAAGAAAAAAGATGAAATGATTCGAACAGCAAGACAAGGCAGAAGCTGCCAAACTTTATCCACTTGCTCTGCAACTAATATCCATGATACCAACAATAGCACAACAGCATCCAATTCATTTTCAGCATGTTCCGATTCCATATGTTCACAATCAAGGATTGCTTCAATGGATGTTTCCACATTCTCTGATTCTCACACTAAACGCATTGTTTTCATGATTAATGAATGGATTGAGAAAAACAAGAAAAAAGACTTTAATGCAGACTTTGTTCTTGTCCAAGGAATAGACTATAATGCAGACTTTGTTCTTGTCCAAGGAATAGACTATAATGCAGACTTTGTTCTTGTCCAAGGAATAGACTATAATGTTACTGTTTCTGTGAATCCTGATAAAGCTTTTATTCGTTGTGCTTGTGGTGTTAAAGCAACCTTAAAGTTGGTTCATACAACTTACCAGGTGAAAATACTGATAAACATGAAGTATTCAGATCAAATATATCTAATAAGAATATTTTACTTGCTAATAAGAAATATATTAAGAAGAGCCCAACATTTCTTTTTCTGATAATCATATTGATTTAGTCATGATGGTTTTAATAAATGACTGACTAGCAGCTTCTAGTAAAAGTAGAAAGAGAATCGTCGACAGTATATCGAGACGTTGATTAGCTACAATTTTTTCATTATGTGAGTTTCAAATAAAATAAAATGTGTTTTTTATTTTCTAGGTGTTCAACTATTATCGTCACCTCAAGACAAAAAAATCCATCACCATTAAAAGAAAATGTTCAAGTATAAATGAAGAAGAAAACATTGAACCATTAGAGGAAACAGAGAAGAATACGCCGTCTTATGCTTCTCTTGATTCTCGTTCTGTTACTATCAATGACAACGCAACAAGGTCATCGATTAGAAAACGGCATGGTTCACTTAATTCTTCTAAGGATCAACCGATCAAAAGAAAACGAATCGTTTAGATGGACATATTTCTTTTTATATATCTTAATTTTTAGTGAACAATCATAGTTTTGAAATAAAATTATCTTCATCTATAATAATCAAGATTAATATCGACTCAACGATGTGTGAAAGATGTTCACAAAATATGACACGAAAAGATAATAACTTTGTACAAATTATAAAGACCATAAGCTTTATTGGAAATAATTTAAACGATTAAGTAGAAAAATATTTCTCCACTTGTGTAAACAATAGAACAGTGTTTCTGAACCTATAGCATCTTATTCTAAAGAAACATTCGTACTAAGTTTATCATTTCTTTTTCCTGAAAAAACTTTTTATACTATATTTTTAATGTTTTAAAATTATTTATTCATAAGATTTTTACATAATCATCTAGATTTTTAACACAATTTTGATCAACTGAAATGTCAACTGCTATTACTGTTCCTGATGATGTACTATTTCTTCACGATGATGAGTTTTATCAATTTATCCAAAAAAAAATGTGGTCATGTTGCTGTCGAGCTTTTGAAAATCCAAGAAATATCTTCTGTTGACAGTTCACTACGTATTGACAATATTATCTCATTCTTCAGTTTCGAATCTCAGCATCTCCGCTCAGTAAAAGAGAACATTGTCATTTATCTTAATGATGGTTCATTTATAATTAAACCAGGAATAATGATTAAAACGGAAACACTTATAAAAGATCTTCGTAAACTGAACCAAATTCAGATTGCATGAAGTCAACAATGATATTCTTACATCCTATGAAACGCTTAAAAATTTTTCATTTATGCAGCAAATTTTAAAGTATATTCAAAATTCTGAAGACATTTTTGATTCAAAACTAACCTTTCTATTCAAGTTTATTGAAAATACATTCTCAAATCTTATGCAACCAAAAGTCGTTATCGATATCCGGATCATATAAAACGTTTTGCACTTACACTTTTCCTGTTGGGTGGAATAAATTTGTATGAATTTATTCATCTAAATCTACCAGATTCATTACCAACTATCCAGTGTCTTTACACGGCTATTGTTAACAGTTTGTTGCTTGGTTTATGCTCTTTTTATTGTCATACTCGGAAGTGCTTACAAAAACAGAGAAACATGGAGGGACGGGAGGGATAGGTAGTAACAGACAAAAAAAAGAAAAAAGGAAGAAACAACAGAATAAAAAACGAAAACAAAACAAAAAGGGAGAAACAAGGGTAAAGATACATGAAGCAAATGAAAGCGGTAACGAGATGAACAGAGAATACAAGTAGCGGGAGTTGTAAAGGTTGAGGTAGAATGTTAAGGGGCTATTAATAAACTAGGATTTCGTGTTCACTCTTTCCTATATTCCTAATTATCACTTTGTTCATTAAAATCAAGTCAGTCTAGGAGAAGTGAGCGGTGTTTTAACTTTAAATGTTTAACCCGCTTCAACATAAAGAGATGGCCAACACCATCTTTAGCTAGCTTATGGAAATTATCCCATAGGAATACATCTTCAAGAAATAAGGAAGAACCTAAATCTGAAGAACACATCTTTTTTAATATTTTCGAGATATAATCTTTGACATAAGTATCAAGCGATTCTTCTCGGGTAAAACTCAAAAGGTCCTTAGCGCGAACGAATGGGGCACGGTGGACTAAGCGTATTGCTACACTATACTTTCTTCTAAGTGCCTCTTGGTGTGTTGTTGGGAGAAAGGGGGAAAATGGAAAGATTCAAGCGAAATGGGGAAATATATG